AAATGGTTCACGTTTTTTGTGTCTCTTGCATTTATCAATAGATTTTCATAAAGTCTTGGTATAGATTCGAATAAACCTTTTTGCTCGAAAATCTTATTTTTTACACAAAAATGAGTTTCACAGATTATTGTGTCGAAATACAATTTGACATTTCGTTATTTCAAAATTTTCAGCTTAAAACATGAACCCTGCATATGTATAATAAACAAAGAACTATTAAAGGTCCTGGATGTTGATATCTTTATAAATCTATATGTATAATAAACGAAGAACTATTGAAGGTCCTGGAAGTTGATATCTTTATAAATCTATATGTATAATAAACAAAGAACTATTGAAGGTCCTGGATGCTGATATCTTTATAAATCTATATGTATAATAAATAAAGAACTATTGAAGGTCCTAGATGTTGATATCTTTATAAATCTATATGTATAATAAATAAAGAACTATTGAAGGTCCTGGATGCTGATATCTTTATAAATCTATATGTATAATAAATAAAGAACTATTGAAGGTCCTGGATGTTGATATCTTTATAAATCTATATGTATAATAAATAAAGAACTATTGAAGGTCCTGGATGTTGATATCTTTATAAATCTATATGTATAATAAATAAAGAACTATTGAAGGTCCTGGATGCTGATATCTTTATAAATCTATATGAATAATAAATAAAGAACTATTGAAGGTCCTAGATGTTGATATCTTTATAAATCTATATGTATAATAAATAAAGAACTATTGAAGGTCCTGGATGTTGATATCTTTATAAATCTATATGTATAATAAATAAAGAACTATTGAAGGTCCTGGATGTTGATATCTTTATAAATCTATATGTATAATAAATAAAGAACTATTGAAGGTCCTAGATGTTGATATCTTTATAAATCTATATGTATAATAAATAAAGAACTATTGAACCCAAGGGCAATAAATAAAACATAAAACATTGAATTAGTTTACTGCTGCAGAAACGACGTCTAAAAGCATGTTTTTAAACTCAATTAATCATCAAAATATGAAATATTTTAATTTAAGGAAACGTACACGGCATTTGAAAATGACTATATGCCGAATGAAATAGCATGCTATAGATAAAGTGAACCTTGATTTGAATTTTCTATAAAATGAAAAATATCTAGGTACAAAGTTACATACTACCTAGGTATATATCGTATTTGGAATATCAGTGAAATTCATATGTCGAACTTTTAGGGTTAAGAATTTAAAATTTAAAATTTAAAAAGAATTTAAAATTTTGTGTGGTTTAAACACGATTGACAAGAAAAAGTTATACATTGTACAAATATTTTATGTAAACCATTAAGACCTATTTAAACCTGGAAACAATTTTTACAACAACGGTAGACCCCGCCCTTCTAAATCCCTACTGCCCCCCTCCCCATTCCATGCTCTTTAGTATTTTTATCGAGCAAACTAAGCGCTGAATAATCGTTATCATTTTCTTTGTTAAATATTTCCTTTGATTGGTAAATCCGGAATAATTCTGTAAATTTGAATAAATCTGGTGGATTGTGCTCCTCAACATCTTGAGGTTGTATAGAGAACCTAGAACTAGGGAGCTTAGAATACATCTTATCTATGTATTATTCTATTCAAACTATAGGTCAGAAAACTGAAATAACTGAAACTGGTCCGAGAGGGGGGGGGAGGGTTGTCAAGGTGCCTAGATATTCTTGTATAAAAGAGATTACTAGTATAAGCTTATCCGTAGAGGTAGGGTTCAGGGCTTTTGAAAAAAGGTTCAATACTGAAATAACCCACCTTTATGAAATTTAGATTTGGAGTTATTTATCTAAATTGACAAACAAATAAATAAGATTTTTTTGAAATATTTTATTTTTGGTTAGGTTTTTGTCTCAAACTCATTCTTATTCTTTGCAGCCTGATGGCGTAAACCCTTGATATTTCAAATTTAAATTTTTTGATCAAATAGAATTCATAGCTTCATATATCTAAGGTCTATGACATTAAGTTCCAAATATGAATTAGAAAATTAGAGTTTGTGGCAAAAACTAAATTCCATAGTATAAGTTTCTATAAACTGCAAAGTACAATCGTCTTTGACTACAACTTTGCGCTCTTAGAATGCCTCAAATTTTCATACTCGATGTGGGATGTATTAATTTGAAATATTTAAAAAATATTGTAAAATATGTTTTTTTCTTAATAGTTCTCTTTAAAATTCTGTTTCTTTAGCATTTTAGATTACAAAATACAATTTAGACGTTTTTAGTTTTTATTGGTTTCTTGTCCCAGCTGAGAAGTAGGGTTTAGTTCTCATTTCAATAAATCCCTAGACAAAGGTTGGTTGGCTGGTGGTCACCAGACCCAGATATATTCATCTTATCTTAGAGATCTACCAGTCCTAACATTTATGTAGTTTTAGGAGAGATACAAATCAAAATACAAAAACTAAAGATTTGGAAGTAAAATCTACCAAACACGTTTCTTATTCACAGATTCGTTATCCTACATACATCATACTAAACTGTACATGGACACAGAATTTAATTGAAATGGTTTATGAGCACATCTTTGCACCTTTATAAAGCCTCCAGTTTTATATTTACACAAGGATTTTAAAGCACTTAAAATTGCAGAATTTTGAAGAATAAAAAATTAAGTTAACTAAAATTAATAACTTTCTGTATTTAAAGTACTAAGGAAAAGCTGTCAAGACGACATTCTTTTTACTTAAGATATGTTGATGAAGATTTTGTAAATTGCAATTTTTGCAACTAAATGTTTAAGAAAAAGAAAAAATAAGACGACAAAAATTGATGTTTTCTGATTCCCACTCTGTTCATAAAAAATGTAGAAGAAACCCCAGTTTCCAATTTCCATTCTTTAGATTTGTATACTCTATTCACTTCAATCTCAATTAAAGGTGGAGTTTAAGTTTGTTTGGGCCTGCTGGTACGTCTTTGATACCCCATCACTTCTTTGGTTTTATTTTTTCATTAAAAAGTCAGGACAGGAAACTTGTTTTGGTTGCATGTAAATGTTTTAAACATATCTTGTGTAATAACTAGTTTTTAGAAAAGAATTAAAATTTCAAAACATACAAGATTTCAACCGAAAATTAAATTAAAATTAAAATTTCAATTTTATGTGCAGGAAAAGAAAAAAACACATTAAAAAACGCACTAACATAGATTTTAAAATAAAAACACGTTAACATTTAGACAATTTTTATTAAAGGCATCATGGGATGATCTTTTACAAGTGAAGGATGTTAAGCAAAATTAAATCTAACTTTTATTACAAAGCTTTTTACGTCCGACCCCGTAGGTGTTTAATTAACATCCACGTAGAGTCTAGACGTATCACAATATATTCATTATTCACATATCATCATCATCATCATACACAATATAAATAAAATATCTTAAATCACTGGATAAACTATACACTGTAAAAAATTACGATGAAAAATAATTTCCATTGCGTTGAACATTAAACTATCCTAGACTAGTACTTGAGTACAGTAGTGTACACAGTACATGATATTACATTGTACATGAGTACATATAATTAAACGCCTAATTGCACCGGGAGTACATAATGATCAAAGTTATTTACAATTAAATTTCCTGATATGTCGAATTTAGGGAAAAATAGTGCATTTTCTCAAACTCATAAGGTCCTCATTGAAATCCTTGGATAAAGAAATACATTGACCTTCCTACACAGGGTGGAAAAAAAGTACTCTGAAAATATATCCTTAATGACTTATTATTTTACAACCTTTATGGAATATTGCAGATACTTTAAGTACGCCATCTTAGATCTTCTTTTTAACTATTTGTATTTTGGGATATTGCAGATACTTTAAGTACGCCATCTTAGATCTTCTTTTAACTATTTGTATTTTGGACAAGGATATTAATTTTAAAAGTAAAAAATTATTAAATTTTAAAAGTAAAAAAATTTTAAGATAGAATCTCAGATATTATAGATTAGATTTTTTTCAGGGAGAAATAAAAAATGTGTGCGTTTAGAATATTCATTCTACTCAAGTAACATAATTTGAATCGGAGTTATATAGAAGATCTGTTTTGTAAGAGCATTAAAAAATCGATATAAACATAAAGTTTCGAAAACTTTTAAATCTTACTTTGACGAACGCGTTTCCTAGTTTTTCAGGTTTGAATGGTTTCGATATTTATCCATGAATACTTGAGGTTGGAGTTTTGAGAAAATGTTGTATAAATGTATTCATGTAATATTGATGTATTTTACATGTAGATATCGTTAGAATCTTTGCAATCATGGAATTATTAGTCTTTGCCACAAACTTTTTATTTTCTAATCCCAAAATCTTTGCAACCCGATGTCATAAATCCTTTGATATTTCAAATTATGAGGTCTGCAAGATTAAATATTGTAATTTTGAAATATCAAAGGTTGCAAAGATATAGTGATTAGAAGATTTGAGATTGTGGCAAGAACTCAGTTCCTTAGTTTATATTTCAACAAATTTTTTTTCATCGGTCCTTTGACATCATCGTAAAACATAAACAAAACCCTTATGTCTTCTTATTAGTTCTATTGCTCCTTGGGTTTTAAAAGTTATTTCACATATACAGTGAAAATCCAAAAAAAAATACCAAAAATCTCTGGAATAAGAAGACGACATTTGGAATCAAGATATGACTTTTAATAGTCCAATGAACATGATACACAGCTATTGTGCAGTGTAAACAGTATTATTATTATTAATGTAATGTTGTTTTCCATCCACAGTTTTCTGGCTCTCACTGTAAGTAATATTTTTTGAATAATTCCCAGTAGGTGGATTTCAAGCTGATGAAAAAGGCAAAGAACAGTTAGTTCTAAAAAAAAATATAAACTTAAAATTAAATTTAGCCTAATTGGTCAAACTGTGATCGAAAGTCACAATTATCTGGGATAAGGACCAAACCGTTAAATCCGCTTGCGTTTAGATCTCTAGTTATTATTTACCTTTACATAGAAGTAATATGCTGAGGAGGAGGTATATTTATCCCTCTAGGTAGAGAAGCTGGTAATCTCTCCTCCTGCATCCCCCCTAGACTCAACCCTTCAGGTCGGAGCTGTAGAGCTTCTCTCCGGTAGGATAGATTCTCCTCCTCGTAGGATCTTCCAGGATCATCTCCAGGATCTTCCTGATCGTCATATCCGTCCTTGTATCGTTGCTCCGGAGCTACCTGGAACCTGAACCTGTTCTCCTCCTCTTCCTCCCGGACTCCAGGAGATACTAAACAAATATATGCCATTAGTTTAGATCCAGGGTATAGTTTAGATCCAGGGTATAGTTTAGATCCAGGGTATAGTTTAGATGCAGGGTATAGTTTAGATGCAGGGTATAGTTTAGATCCAGGGCAGGGTATAGTTTAGATCCAGGGTATAGTTTAGATCCAGGGTATAGTTTAGATGCAGGGTTCAAGATATTTATTAAATTAATATCCAACTCTGGGGCCAAAGAAATTGAGTCCTTACCACAAACTCTAATTTTCTAATTCCTATATCTTTGCTAACCAAAGATTACACCATTAGGTTGCCAAGATATAGGGATTAGAACATTTGAGTTTGTGGCAAAGACTCACTTCCTTTCATAACGAGAAGTAGTTGAACGACGTAGACTAAGTTGAACCATTTCTCTTGATCTTGAACAAACACACAGAATAAGTGGGTCAACTACTACGCGATATTAAACAAAACTCGACCCTGGTAAAAAAATTGATCACTTTCAGTACCAAAATATCCGTCTAATTATCTATCTTTCTTTCTATCTACCTATATATCAAACACACTGTCTGTTTAGCTGTTTATCTATCTATCTATCTACCTATTTATTTATCTATGTATCTATTCATTTATCTATCTATGAAAAGAATAATGTTGTCTTGTAACGAGACAACCGGTCAAAAGAGTGCAGAAATATTATTTTGCAATTCTACTCAACATCATACTTTTTAAAACCCCTTCAAAAATAAAAACAAAAAATTAACCTTTATTATAAAATCAGTCGGATACAAAAATTTTACACAGTAAACTGTTTTTGAAAATTATAATCTAAAAAAAAAATAAAATGATAAAATTTAGATTTTCTTTGTTTTTAAAACGTGTCCCCTAGGACCCTTATCTGATGCAGATTATAATCTTGGAGAAAATGTTAACGTATTTTATAAACAAACTTTTAGAAAAATTTGTCACAATAATGAACTAAAGAAAAATGAAGTTTATTTTACAAATTCTTATTTTTACTTTCCTAGGATTAATTATTCGCAGGTCACAAGCGTTGCGGCATTACTGTCAGAAATTTAAAACTTTCGGTATTTTTCAATAAATCAAAATTAATTTAAGAGTGAAAACTAGTGCAAAAATGACTTTTTATACTTCAATATAATCTTAAAATTTTTACCTAAAACAATCGAACATTTTAAACTTCTAACCAATGTAAATTAAAATGCACAACACGTAGAGCGTATAAAAATATGTCTCAGGTAGTATAAATCCACAAAGGATTGTGCACACTGTACACTGTAAATTCATGTGAAACGGCAATCAATTAATCATGTAACACAACAATATATTTATCTATCTTTCATTAATGAATATCTATCTAAAATCTACTAAATCTTAAGCTTAGTGCAGTGTACTAATATTCTTTAATTTCAAATGTAAACCATTTCATAAAACAACAAAGGATCTGAGAAATCGTTCATACTCTATATTCTCTAATTTTTTAGATCTTCGATATTCAAAATTATGTATTATTTCTTACAGATCGAAAAGTCAAAGTTTAAAATTTCCACGATTTATACCATCAGAAGCCGAATTAAAAAAATTTGAGACGCTGCTGAAACATGGTTGGTTCCACAATCCACTTAAAATTGTGTTTAGTGTTTCGAGATTTGAGCCGGCGCTGAATTAAAACCGGTTTTTGGCGACTCTTTAAATTTGGCCTCTGAGATAATAAAATTAGAGTTTGTAGCGAGTGATCCGAGAAAAATTTTTTTTTAGTCAATTAATCTTTTTCATTTTAAATTTTGTCAATGCACTTCGCTCACCTGTTGGACGCTTAGAGGGCGGAGAATGATCCTCTCCGTCAGAGGACGAAGGACGTTTATATCCCTCACTCGGAGAAGGAGAAGGAGCAGATAAACCCGTCCCGTCCTCCTTCCTAGGACTGTTGTTATGTATGGCCTGATGCTGTTTTAAATTACCCTGAAACGAAGGAAATTATGCAAAAATTCTGACAAGGGGATTAAATTCCGTCTTGTACATAACATATTATTCTTTAACGCCTCACAGACATACAGTCTTAGAGTAGACATGAAAAAACAAAACAGAATATTATATGACAAGAAAAAAAACAGAATATTATATGACAAGAAAAAAAAACAGAATATTAAACGACAAAAAAAAGCAGAATATTAAACGACAAGAAAAAAACCAGAATATTAAATGAAAAGAAAAAAACAAAACAGAATGTTAAAAGTCAAGACAAAAAGTTTAGTCAACGTTATGAAAGAAAACTTTTTGCAAGAAAAGAAACATTAATAAACTTGCAAGCATCCAATTTACTGGAAAATAAACCAAAAACAAACAAAACTCCAAGATTAAATATAAATTGATACAAGACGGGATGGGGGGGGAGGGTGGGGAGGGGGTGACAGGCTCTGAAATTACTCTAAAAAATACACACGGGTTTATATTAGGCCAATAAACAAGGTGGGCTCGAAGAACAGGTTTTAATTGATATTTTGTATTCTTGACGAACTATTGAGAAGAGAAGTTCATAAAATATAAATCTTACATCAGGATTTGAAGTTTATCAGGACCAAGATCAAGATTATAAGGAGGAAGGAGAAGGATGGAGATAAAGATTATCAAGGGGTAAGGATAAGGATGGAGATCAAGATTATCAGGAGGAAAGAGAAGGATGGAGATCAAGATTATCAGAAGGAAGGAAAAGGATGGAGATCAAGATTATCAGGAGGAAAAAGAAGGATGGAGATCAAGATTATCAGGAGGAAAGAGAAGGATGGAGATCAAGATTATCAGGAGGAAGGAAAAGTATGGAGATCAAGATTATCAGAAAAATGGAGAAGGATGTAGATCAAGACTATGAGGGGAAAAGAGAATATGGGTCAAGATTGAGAAAAACAAAAAAAATCTGAAGAGATAAAGGAACGTTAAGAAGAAGAATGTTTATAAATTAGGTTAGATATCAACTCAGAGCAAATTATAAAATCATGAATATAATTTATTCACATTAATAGAAAGTTTAATTTAAACACAAGTTTTGTTTCAGGAAATTAAGCAAATAAAATATTTCTTGATGTTTCGCAGAAGCCATTAATTCTTATTGCCATTATATAATCTCCCTTTATTGATATCATTTGCTGTAATTGAACTAGAAAAGTGGAAATTAAATTTTCAAAATTGAAATAAATCCAAACTGAATCAATTCAGGATCACACAAAGAAACAATAAAACTTAAATAATGAAGGAACGCAATAAAAAATGATCCACGAAATAATTTGAAATATCGTCTTCACCTTTGTTGTAAACCCACGGTCGCAGTCCGGACATTTAAAAGGTCGCTCCTTGGTGTGAGACCGCATATGGATTTCAAGCCCTGATGCACACCCGAAAACCTAAAAAAAAACATTTTAAAATATTTCTTAAATTTTGGTTTCTAAGGCCCCAGATTAGCAGTTGTAGGTTTCCCACGATTGTTTGAAAATAGTTCTTGATTGAGACGCTAAATAAAACCCAATCATTGAAATCAAGGGGCAAATATTCAGATACTGTAATAAAACTAAAAAATACAGGGTGTCTCAATAAAACTAAAAAATACAGGGTGTCCCAATAAACATGGGAGTTTAGTGACGACCTCGAGATCGTCTTTGTTAAGAGACATAATAAACTTACGTCAACTAGAGTTATTTTTATGTAAACGGTATAAATGCTGTTTTTCTATTCTGCAAAATGGTATGATGTGTTTGCAAGGTGAAAGCTGTTCTTTGTTTGTATCCATGAATTTTCTCATTTTACTACAGTTTGCAATTAAAACATAAAGAAACAAATTCTTAACTCTAGCAGACGAAACATTCTATACTAAACAAAAATCATTTACAAAGACAATATCGAAATTGTCACTCAATTTCCATATTTATGGAGACACCCTGCACACAATTGATAATTTTTGAGGGACCGTTGAACCATCTCCAGGTTTGAACAGCCCTGAAACTGTCCTTTACATTTGAACAACCCTAGCCCAATCTCATTATCTATTGAGTGTGAATTGTTTTATTATTTGTATGCATATACAGAACTAGAGAATATAAACACTCTACTGTCATATACGATGGATATACGGAGTCAAAAACATATAAGCAAAACCGGGAAAATTCGTTTTTTTCGAAATCATTATAAATAAAACATTTAGGAAAAGAGCTGACTAAGTGCCTCAAATTCTAATTTTCTAATCCTTATATTTTTGCAATCAATTCTGCTTGAAAAAATAATCTAAGATCGAAATATAAATGGTTTGCACTAGAAGGTTGCAAAGATATAGGGATTTGAAAACTAGAGTTTAATGCGAGTAACCAGTCTTATCGTTTGCTAGCTTGGGAACCAAGCGCTGCCCAGGTTACACTCCCCGTTTACCCGCACTTGAACAATTTTACCACGAAACAAAATTTTCGCTATAAAGTCGACCCACTTAGAATAATAAATCCAAGATAAGAACATTCCCGTCAGTTTTCCGAGTTCTCCCATATATCGGTCCAGGGGTTCCTGAGTTATGATCGGAAAAACAAACAGACAGACAGACAAAAAAAGATTTTGATATAACCTGCAAATTGTTCCAAGCTATATAGGCTTAAATCATGCTTTCAATAATTTTGGATATTTTTTTTTTACCTTAAAGCATATTCTACAAGTAGTTCTTCCTCTTCCTAACATATAGTTCCCAGGTCCTAAACAAAAACACCATTTTACATAGATATTGAATATTATGTTTTGTATGTACAGTGTGTCAGTCTATCTGTCTGTATGTTTACCTAAATATTGGTCTGGGTGAGGTCCAGTCATATAGTTAGGGAACCCTAGGGAAAAGTATAGAAAGTTAGTTTCAAAAACATTTTTTTATAAAATATCTCTGAGCTGTCTGTCAACATAATTTCTGGTTATTTATCTGTATTATTTTTTCTGTCATTAATTTTGAAAAAAAATTAATCTATTTGTGTACTAATCTGTCTGTGTTGATCTGCTTAGCTGTTTGTATATCTGTCTGTTTGTCTGTTTTTCTGTCTATCTATCTGTCTATCTGTCAAACTATCTACCCCTTCCTCCCCCCCACCTCCCATCATCCCTTCTCTAAACTTAATATTTTTCTTAAACAATCATTCCCCTTTCTTCCTTGAGAACCCACAACCAGGAGAAATATATTTTTCGATTCTATCAATAATAGTTAGAAATGTAATTGTGGGGTTAAGAGAAAAGGGGGCGATTTGTATGCCCTCCCTCCCACTTAAGAAACCAACCCACGGGATAAAGTAAAAACATGAACTAAGAATATAAATGTTTGAAAACTGCTAATGAGCTGGTTACAACCAAGATCTGAGTTTACAACATGAAAATCTAATTTCTTGCTGACTTCACTAAACTCAACTTAACAAAACTACTTTTACAAACTTTTCCAATGGATCGTTACGTTGTAAGAATATAAAGTTAGGAGTAAGGTTTACATATGAAAATGTTTTATTTTTGGTAAAGGAATGGTTTAAAATAAGGGTTAACTAACCGTTTAAGCTGAGAGAATGAGGAGGAAGAACTATTCCCATTGACTGGAGATCTTGAGGAATCCCTGTCTTGGCAAGATGAGAGAAAACTGAGTGTGCTGCAGGGTTTCCTCCCAGCATGGAGAAGGGGGAGTTTAGGAGGAAAGGGAAGGGACTGCTCAGGTCTAGAGGACCGGAGGAGAAGGGACTGTTCATAGGAGCAGACTTTGGAATAACATCAGGTCTCACTGGATCAAGTATCGAGGATGAGAGAGGAGAAGGGGTTCTGTGCTCGGAATGTGAACTAGTTTTCTCCCCTGGGCTTGGAGAGTTGGGGGGACTCTCCTCCCTGTGGTTCTCTTCATCAAGCTTTTTGCTACTAGTAGATAAATCTTCTGGTTGGTTTCTGCTCAGCTGCTCACTTAGCTTTTCTGGAAATAAAGACGAATAATGAGAATAGGAACTAGATTCAGGGCTTAGGTTCAATGCGGAAGGAAAGTACACTAACTATGAAAAGATTAAGAATTCGAGCAATAGTATTGAATTTATAGTGGAGCAAAGGAAATGAGTTTTTGCAACAAACTCTTTTTCTAATCTCGATATTTTTGCATTCTGATGGTGTAAACCTTTGATACTTGATATGTTTTTAAATATAAAAAGTATATGTACATTGTACAACATGAGGTTGAGAAGATATAGGGATTAAAAAATCAGAGTTTATGCAAAAACTCGGTTCCTTTAAAATAAAGAGCATATTCAAGTTAAAAGAGAGAAATTTAGTTATTTACAAAGGTTTGGGATTAAATCAATGTTTAAGCAATTCCTAACTTGGCAGGAAGGTTTAAAACAAGGATAATGTTCAGAGCAAGGTTTTGAATTGTAGTAGAGGTTTAGGTTCAAGAGGGATTAGAAATCAAGATATGGATATAGGGTTCTCACCGATAGATCTAAGATTAGTTTGGCTGAGTGAACCCTCCGATGACGATGCGTCAAAAGATCCACTTGAACCTCTATCATTCTCAGGTATACTCTCTTCATCTTCTTCTCTCTTCATTCCTCTGCCATCAAAACTATTCGGGAAGTTGAAGAGACTCTCGTGATTGAATTGTGAAGTTGGGAGCTGGAATGGTTTTGAACCAGGATGCATTCCGTACATTGGGAAATCTTTGATTTCTGCTGCGGAAATTTGATCCAGAGTGAGCTCCGTCGGAGCTCCAGAGTGAGTTTTTATATGCTCCTGGAGCACCAGAGCATTAGGATATCTTTTCTGACAGATTAAACATTGATGGAAGGCTCTAACCGGAGCTCGGATCTGATGAACACTCATGTGAGTTTTCAGGTTACCCTTTGTGGTAAACCCTCTCTTGCATATCTTACATCTGTACGGTCTTTCTCCGGTATGGGTCCTGTAGTGCATCTGTAGAGCTGACTTGCACGAGAGCACTTTGTGGCAGACAATGCACTCGTTAGGATCAGAGAGTTTATGTCCCAAGGAGTTGACAAGGTGTTCAAGTTTACTCGTCTCTCCTTCCTTATCTATCTCAATAAAGTTCTCCCAAGCTTCATCTGTATTATCCATCTGTGGAGGAGGATGGAACATGTTGGGAAGCATTTTAGAATCTACTGGTAGCTGGAGACGGGGCATAAACTGGGGTCGGAACATGTTTCCTGGAATCTGTGGGAACGGGAAGAATGGAGGTTTATCATGGAAGGATAGATGAGATGATACAGGGGGTTGCTGCTGATGATGTTGATGATGTGTGAGATGAGGCGGGAAGAGATGGGGAGCAGGACGAGGAGAAGGTTGTAGATCATGGGGTGAAGGTTGATGATCGCGAGGGGATGGTTGATGATCACTGGGAGAGGGTTGGGGTTCATGAGAAGGAGGAGGAGATTCAGGATTACTCTGAGTATCTGATTCTCTATCATCGTTATGCAAATCTTTGCTCAGATTCTGAGGTTCTTCTTGGGCTGAGTCATCTTCATCCTCAACCGGAGATTCTTCTCTTTTAATCAGAGCTTTATCCTGATCAACTTCAGGTTCAACAGAACTTGTTGAGTTATCTTGTCTCGGACCAAGTGTAATTGGTCTAAAAGCTAGCTCTGGGCTGGGTTTCGGAGGTTTAACTTCACTCTCCTCAAATTTAGGGAATGGGAAGAGAACGGAGAGCGGAGGAGCTCGTGAGAATTGCATTTTCGCAACTAGATCTTCTTTTCTCACCGGTTCACTGGGTAGGCCTGGTAAAGGCATTCTAGGCATGCTATGAAGGTTAGGAAGAGACATTCTTGGCATACCGCCAAATTGTGGCATCTGCGGCAGATTAGGAAATGAAACTGGAGTGTCCAGTTTAGGGAAACCTGGTAGTCCCATGGGAGGTTTAGTTCCAGGTGGTATAATCGGAAGCATACCAGCCATTGGATTCCTAGCTGACGGAGGAGGGATTCCCTTCTTCTCCGCGTCCTCAATTTGCTTGAGTAACGGTGGATAGAACTTGTCTAAATGCTCCGGGACCAGGTTTGGGTTCATCTGAACATGAGGGAAGCTCTGGGAGTGTCTCTGAAAGTGAACCTTGAGATTTCCTTTGGTTGTAAATCTGTTCCCGCAGACGTTACACTTGTAGGGTCGTTCTCCGGTATGAGATCTGAAAATCATATTAAAGAAACTGAGATTTTTCCACAAACTCAAATGTTCACATTCCTTTATCTTTGCAACCTGATGGTGTACACCTTTTGATATTTCAAACTTTGGATATTTATCTGGCATAATTCATTGTTCGAAATATCTATGGTCATATATGACATCGAGTTTCAAAGATATAGGGAATGAAAATAAGAGTATTGCGGCAAAAACTCAATTTCTTAGGAAACATCTATATAATCTATATAAAAACTTGTCAAGACATTAATATAACAGATAAATTAATATGTAAATTTTTATAAAAGATTTTTAAATTCAAGTCTAGTAGGTTTGACATTTTGTGGTGCATTTATAAATAAAGTAAAATTATGAAGTATGTTTGAACTGTAAGTTATATTACTATAAATATATATTCGTTACCTGATATGTATTTGAAGAGCAGAATCTGATCCAAAAACCTTCCCGCAGAATTTACATCGATGTTTAAAGTGGGGATCATCCTTGGATAAATTCTTATTGTAGGATAGATCTGCTAAACTATGCTTGAGTAAACCATGGCTCGCATTGTTGAGGATACCCTGAGCTTTCTGTTGGAGTAGCTCAAGGGAGTTGAGAGGAGATGAATCTGTGTGCTCCGTGATAATACTTGAGATTGGAGCTGAACCTAGAGAACCAGGGTGTCCAGGTGGAGTGTTGAAACTATCACTAGTTATCGATCTGTCCAGTTCACTTTTTGTTGGTTGGTTCTCAGAACCAATAAACTCCTGCAATTTCCGGAGAGATTCCGTTCCAACATCAACTTTTTCCAGCTCTTGATTAAGTTTAAACAAAGGATTACTGGCATCTATCCCGGAACCAATCTTGGATTGATATGATCCGTCCCCTCCCTTCATCTGGGTCTGCATGTGAGCCAGGATCTGCATCTGAAGGATCTGTTGCTGCTGCAATGAGAACAGGGTTGTCTGAAGAACTGCAAGATCCTGAGCTGTCTTAGGATTGTCTGCGTTTCCAGTATCGGAGACAAGCTGAGATATTCGATCTGTAACACTCTTCAACTGTTCGGTCAATGGATTATCCAAATCCAACCCGTGAAACTTGGATCCAAACATTCCACTATTCATGTTTAAATCCCTCTCATCCGACCTAGGACTACTTTTCTCCTCCTCACTCTCACTCATCTTCCCCTCACTCTCTCTTCCGGATGTTTCCTCCTCACTTCCTCGTCTTATCTCCAGGTTTCCGGTCATTCTCATCGGGTTCATCACCCAGCTCCGAGCCAGGTAATCCGTCTCCTTGTTATTATTCACTACGTCTTCACTAAACGGTTTTTTAATGAGTTTAGTTTCTAGTTTATCACTGGTATCACTGATATCCTGCTCCGCGGAGCTCTCCCGGGAGCTCATCTCGTCTCCACTATGTTCCGGGTCGGAGTCCGAACTCCGGGTCCCAATTTCCCCAGGGTTTTGTCTGAACGGGGCGTGAGGAGGAACTGCATGCGTGAGTTCTCCTCCACCTGCAAATAAAAGCGTGGTTACTGGCTACTCACTAGAGAAATATATTTGTGCAAACTCATTCAGACAAACCCTTGCAAAAATCTATCATTTAAAACAATTTCCACGTTTTTTATTCTATTTCCAGAAAAATATTTTCTTTCAAATCCATGGGATTGTTCGGATGGGAAGAACATTTTGTTTCGTGCACAAACCTTCACGATTCTTTATGGACATTACTAATTGATTTACAGGCATAAAAAGAGCTTGTAAACACACATTTCTAGGGATAATTCTTTTTATTGCATCCATACTTTTTATTTAGGCTTCAACCGATGCTCTATTCTTCCTTTCCAGGTATTTTAGATGAAATAAAACTTGTAGTATAACCCCCCCCCCTCTCCCCTCTCTTGGCTCTGGAAAAAGTGTTAATAAATTGAAACATTCCAACTTTTGTTGTTTAAATGAAGAAAGGTGAGAAATGTAGGGGGTGATGTATCTTCTCTATTTTGGAAAACTACGGAAAAGATGAAACCCTCCTTTGTCTTTGAAAAATCAATAGTTTTGCTCCGTTCTTTCGGGATCATTGCAGAACCCATCAGGGAGAAGATTTAACCCCTCTTTCCGTCCTTAATAAAAAGCTTGCGGAGGTGACACATAAACTACCCTCTACACAGTACACACACCCGATCTTATATTTGAAATTTAAACAAGACAAGAAACTACAAAAATATATAATTTTAGCAATATTTGAGTAAAATATGTTACCACGATGAAGATTGGATTGAAATTTGAAATTGTGTACAATTGTACAATTCTAAATATTTTTAAAGAATCAAGAAAATTTTTAAAAAGTAACTAAAATTCACTAGAATAGACTAGAATACTAGACTAGACTAGACAAGAATAGACTAGAATACTAGACTAGACTAGACTAGACTATAATAGACTAGAATAGACTAGAATAGACTAGAATAGACTGGAATAGACTAGACTAGAATAAAATAGATTAGAATAGACTAGAATAGACTAAAATAGACTAAAATAGACTAAAATAGACTAGAATAGACTAGAATAGACTAGAATAGACTAGAATAGACTAGAATAGACTAGAATAGACTAGAATAGACTAGAATAGACTAGAATAGATCTGTCTATCTGTCTACCTATTTATATATCTGTCTATCTGTCTTTCTGTCTATACATATCTCTGTCTATCTCCCTAGCTGTATAGCTGTATATCTATCTCCCTGTCTATCTCCCTAGCTATATAGCTGTATATCTATCTCCCTGTCTATCTATCTGTTTGTTTGATGTTTAGCTGTGAAACTATCTGCCTATCTATCTATCTATCTATCTGTCTATTTATTTCTATATGTCTACCTGTATACCTGTCTCCCTGTCTTTCTATCTATTTGTTTGATGTTTAGCTGTGTAACAAGTTAAATAATTATTAGGTAAATATTTGCTGGTCGGACTAGTCACCAGTCATTCAACAACCTGGAGACAAATCAAAATTTGGTAGATTACAGAAATCAAATATACAGATACATAGATAGACAGATACATAGATTGGTTGGAACCTGTTCATGTTCAAGGGATTGGTTGGAACCTGTTCATGTTCAAGGGATTGGTTGGAACCTGTTCATGTTCAAGGGATTGGTTGGATCTTTAGATAACGCTGAACTCTAGATCTTTAGTAATCAAGCAATAAACTTGCCAACACAACACTATCTGTACTTTTATCTATCTATCTACCTACTTATATATCTATCTATTTATCTATCTATCTACCTACTTATATATCTATCTATTTATCTATATATCTATCTATTTATCTATCTATCTATCTATTTATCTATCTATCTATCTATCTATCTATCTATCTATCTATCTATCTATCTATCTATCTATCTATCTATCTATTTATCTATCTATCTATCTATCTATCTATCTATCTATCTATTTATCTATCTATCTATCTATCTATCTATCTATCTATCTATCTATCTACCTACTTATATATCTATCTATTTATCTATATATCTATCTATTTATCTATTTATCTATTTATCTATCTATCTATCTATCTATCTATCTATCTATCTATCTATCTATCTATATATCTATCTATCTATCTATCTATCTATGATTAAACCCTGTATTCCTATGTACAGATTAGGATGGAATCATAAACCACATTGTCGATAGAAACGTGCTTTATTACCAACAACCCAAGACGCGCGAGTCCTAAAAATATTTAAGATAAAAACTGCGCGTTCGTCTGCGCGCAAAGGAATTTAATACCATGAAGCAAATATAATGATTTACAAGCGCGTAGTAAACAGAAAACTTTACAGTGATAAAGAAAAACAGAAACTACAAGGGATGTAAGGGACATTTTTTCCGTGCACCCCCACCTCCTCTCAAAGGGAGCGACAAACCCCCTTGAAGAACTCTGTAAAACACTTGTAAATGTTGCTGTATTTGGATGGATTTAATTACATTTAACGCAGACTCCAACTTCATAAAATTCTTTAATAGCTAAAACTATTTTGCATCTTGACATCTAACTATCAATCTATCTAATATGCCCGACTACGCATCTATCCACGCATCTATCTACTTTGAATAAATGTCACTTATAACGGACTCTAAATAACGTTTAAAGGGAGTGTTCGACAATAAATTTGTTATTTGAAAATATTTAAAGAGTATAGCCTAGGGGAGAGAAGAGAGCTGGTTAAAAATTAAATATTTTAAAAATAACTAGTTTGTTAACCTCGTTCTTTAACTTCAGACCTACACACCTTGCTTAAGACATGCGCATAAGTGAGAAGCTGCTAACTAGCCCCAAACTTTAATTTTTTAAAATATATTTTTATTAGATACAGCATTTAATTTAAGTTATAAGTTTATTTCTCAAGGTTGAATGTTGTCTACTGCAGTTGTACAATTAAGATATAAAACCTGTTGAAATATGCAATAAACGATATCAGATTCGTTAATTTTATCAGAATTTTAATAAATATAAATTGGTTTGAATAGAAGCAAGAGAAGGCCAAACCATATACATTCTTATCTACAGATCTTTATAGCTGTGTCCACCTATACTCACAAGGGTTGAATATTAACTTTGAAACTCTAATCAACAAAAATCTAATCAAACTAAAAATAATGAAAAGTTTGCTAAAATTTTTTTTTTCAAGATTTTTTATTGGGCAGCAATGATAGATATTAAAAATCTACCAATTAAATTCCCTCCCCCCTTCCCTCCTCTCCCCCCCC